TCTCACCTTCACATTTGAGAAGTTTGGTGCAGCAGCACATTCACTCATGTCAGGTGTTAGGCATCCGCCCAGTCAGGACTGTGTCCATTCCTCCATGCCCCAATTTTTTGGGTTAAAAACATCCGGTCTCATTTTGTCCTGAACCTTCCTCTACATCTGCATCTGATCAAAACACTGAGCTCCAGTAGGGACTGCCCAGTGTGGGGGGCTGTGGGTAGGCACTGCCCTTTCTTATGTGCTAAGATCTACAATATAAATATAGTGGTGGTTTAAAGACAATCAAACCAGTTTTAAAGCAGCAGAAATATATACCGCTTTCTTGTAGGAAGAACCTAAGGAAATGGTGTAACTCTCATGTGAGAAATGCTTCTCTTTGCTCTGAGATCCCACAGAAAACTGGAGGTTTGATGGGCTTTTGCATTCTGACAATTTTTGATCCATCTGCCAGAATACCTGGTCCTGAAGAACAGCAAATCAGCGTAGCTCTGCTTGAAGGGGGTTTTGGTTCAGTTCAGGGTCGAATTTACTTGATTGGAGCGAATTGTTGCAGATCTTTGTGCAACCCTTGGTGTAAACATGAAATAAACATACAGCACCCATAACGGTCAACTCTGGATTTACAACTAAAAACCTGCAGCGATGCTTGACTCGTGGAAAGAAGCCTCCACAACCTGTAAGGTTGTAAAGTAGGTATGTTTATTCCACGCGCAGGTGCACAGGGGATTGCTCCTCCACAGATGTGCGCACCTGAAACAGCAATTTCCCTTGATTTTATACAGTAACATATTGCCTATTCATTAAGCGCCTATACATATTCATAACCTGTCCCCAAAAAGGAGGTCTTTTCCCAAGAAGTCCTTTGCATGTGCTCCACCTTCTCCTCCCAGTCGCGCCTGCGCAGGGCCTCCTGCTGGTCGTTGGCAGGGGGCTCAGCGGTGAAGTAAGTGGTCTTCATCGTGCTGAACTCGCATCACCTTCTTTTGGCACCTGCTCCTGGAACTTCTCCAAGTCACAGAATCGGTTTTATCTGGTTTTAAGGCCACTTCAGTTTCTATTTCTCTGTACTTCATTTCCCTTATTCAATACTCTATTGTTAGTTAGTTACACGCCTGCTAACCTCAGTTTCCCCTTAATTTCTATAAGCTATTCAATTCCCTGGTTACATGATTGCTAGGTTTTACCTAAACCCTAGCCCTAAACTACAAGCCCCCCATTTCATGCTGAATAATGGACACAAGCTGGAACACAGGAGGTTCCACTGAAATTTGAGAAGAAACTTCTTCTCAGTGAGGGTGACAGAGCACTGGACCAGGCTGCCCAGAGAGGTTGTGGAGTCTCCTTCTCTGCAGACATTCAAAACCCCCCTGGACGCCTTCCTGTGTAACCTCATCTGGGTGTTCCTGCTCCGGCAGGGGGATGGGACTGGATGAGCTTTGGAGGTCCCTTCCAATCCCTAACGGTCTGTTCTGTGAAATCCATCACTTCATGCAAGGCAAATATCGATCATTATTCTTAGCCAAAGAAATCCATGATACTGCTAATACCTATGGTGGATTTATCTATGTTGTAGAGCCAAGGTTGCTGTAATATCCTCACAGTTCTTCCATGCACTGTGTGGTCTTGGAAGAGATAAAGAGTGCAAGACCTTGAACAACTTTTCCATACCTTGGTTTTGTTACTTGTTCAGAAAGGGAGGCTGCTTTTTATTCAGTACGTTAAAAGCCATGGCTTTATAGCATGGCTCTTGAAGTTGCTTTGTTTTTATTTTCTGTTGGCACAGATTGGATTGATCAGTGCTGTGTATTGATTCAGTGAAAAAAAGAAAAGAGTAAAATAAGGGAGTAAAAAAGGAGTAATATTGTGGATACTCATTTATATGTTACAACCTAGAAGCCTGTCCTGCTTTAAACTGCTTTGGCTAAATCGGTCCCAAAAATCTGTACAAAAATACATTTTGGTTTACCTCAGATCAGTTAGGAACAGATTGAAGCTAAAGAAAATGATAACCACTGTTCGAAGCAAGGCAACGCCATGTGCAGCCAAGGCTGGAAGAAGACCCCATTCTGCAAGTCTTGTAACCAGGCTAAAGCTGTCATCTTCACCTTTTCAGTTCTTAGCTTTTCTAAAGTCCTTTCTTTCTAAATCCAGTAAGAATACACTAGGAACAATTCGGCTCACCTGTGTCATTATTAAGGATTATGGAGCAAAGAGCGGGAATCATTTCTTAATTAGAAGTCGAGGGGAATGGGATGGGGGCATCATTAGGCAAACAAAGCCAAGGGCCCAGTACAATGGGTGGTAAGTAGGCGATTAGTCTCTGCTAAGTACTTTTTCTGTAGCTTGAAGCAGTTTAGGGGGAAAAAAAGGGGGATTTAGCATGAACATACCCCATCATCTGAAGATGTGTTAAACTCTTTTTTTAGATGCAGCAAAGCCCCTCAAATTAGTAAAGGGATAGAATTTACATTAAAAAAATGCTGTGCTTTTTCCTTAGTCCCCACATGAGTTGATCTGATTTTAATGCAGATGCTAATTGGGACCGAGGTAATCCGAGTTTACAATGCTGCTTGAAGGAAGATGTTAAGCAAATGGCTCTCGGCAAAACGTCTCTCGAAGCGCCACAAATTGAGTACTTCTTGTTTTCTCTTGCGGTTTTGAAAATACATATTGAGCCATTTCAATATTTGGCCTGCCTTCTTGGCCGCAAACATAAATTTTAACTATATCGAGAATACTGTGATAGAGATCCAGAAAATCCACTGGGCAGAGGAAGGTTTGCTGACTCCAAACACTGCTAATTCTCAAGAGAGAGCAATTAAAGCAGTATTCACAAAACCATTTAGCTTTTCTGTTCCTCACTTCTTATCAGCTTTTTAATTCTTTCGGGTTACTCGAGAACCTCTTGACCTGTTTGTGTTTTATGGTATCAGGAAGGCTATTTCTCTGGTTTCTTATTTAATTTAAAACCTTATCCTGAGCTTTCCATTTCTGCTGAAGATGACAGCAGGTCTATATTGACTACAGATTGAGGCTGAAGTGTACCACTGTCAGGACACATACTCTTTTTGTTTTCCAGTTCAGAAAATCTATAGTAGGTAATAATCATGTAGTAGTAAAGGAGAGACTAGCTGATAAAACCACTTACTCTCCATTTCTAATGCCTGAGTCTGCTAGGCATAAAATATGTCTTCCTAACAGCCTAAGTGTGACACGAGTTGCTCTGCATTTCCCAGAACAAAGAGCATCAGGAAGGATTTTGTTCATCTGCCTCTGAACTGACATGAGTTTTTGTCATGATGTATGCTCAAAACTGGACATTTAACCAGATAAACTACTCCATTCCGCTACAGATTTTCCTAAGCCAACTGCAAGGAACAAAAAGAATCCATTTCCTAAGTGCTTTCAGCAATGTAAGTTTAAAACCTAACTCTAAAACCCATCACTCCAGCTGTGGTACTGTGTACTGGCATAGTTATCAATAAATCCCAGTGCCCTTTCACTGACTGTAACAAAGACAAGGCTTTTGAATTCAAACTAGTATACTTCTGTAAACCTTCACTTATTATTTTGCAGTACTAAAACAAGTGTACAACACAAGTCTCGGTATTTTGGGGAAGCTTTTATTTTTATGGTATTTGTTTTCATGCTTATAGACTTACTCCAATTTTAAGAGGATCTGGCCAAGCAAACATAAGTCACAGCCCTGGGTAAGGTAAGTTCTGTGAAATTTCTGATTCACAGCATGAAAAAGTCAGGAAGTTATCCAAATATATCATCTTCCCCCTACAAAGTAAGGCAGTCGAATAGATGTGTGCTTGGTAAAAGCATTACTGTAGGACATACTGCTCACCAGAATCAAAGCTGTAACATTCTGAAGTAAAATATACATAAAGCAGTGTAAGGACATACATTTGTTTACAAACTATATTAGTCCCATTGATTTACAAGAGAAGTCTCCAAGCAGTTTTATCTTACCCGTTTTTGGTCTGATAGGCAACACTCACACGGGAAAGGATTTAGCATTTACTGCTTAAACACAGTAAGATTTTTAAGTCTTGGCCCCTGCTCCTACTGGTAACACCTGTGGAGCCCTTTTAACATGCCTTTGCAGTAGAATCACTGAGGTTCCTGTGCTTCGAGGAGCTGTTAAAACACTCCAGCAGCCAGCAGTGTATTTGGACAACTTCTTCCTATCAGCATCCCGCTGTGGCTGCAGTCAGGCATCACAACAAGGACTCAGAGCAGGCGAGCGTTTCCAGCATACTCTTGGAAAACTGATTGGAGTCTTGTTTTGTTCTTAGCTCATCCTGTAAATCTTCATTCATTTGAAGTGTCCAGATATGGAAAGAAAGTCAAAAAACCCAGGAGAGAGGAAGCAACACATCCATTGTTTCATTACCCTCCCCTAGGATCTGTATTAAACAAACATTTCACAGAAATCAGGGCTAAAGTTGCTCCCTCAGCAGCACCATTTAACTAAC